CAGGAACTGAGAATCATTATCCATTATCAGGTTACCTATTAAAGTGTATTTTTTATTAAAGACTTTAATATAAATGTTCTTCGAATCCACATTGCACATTCACATATGCACAAATACACAATTCCAAGCAGATTATATATTCACCACTAAAATTTCATCAAGCTGTTCACCCTGAATATTTTATTTGTGAATGTCTGGGTAAGGTTGAATCCGAGCTGACTTTAGGATGGCCTTGTCTTCATGTAGGATTCATCAAACTGAAAACTAATGATTAGTTTATTAAAATATTGAGTTTCTGTCAACAAACAATTTTGTTAAACTACAGCACTCAAGTCAATCATTAAATGCCATCTGGTTCCACTTTGTTTCCATTTCATATCACCATAAACCTGAATATCTTTGTTGGGAGGTTAGGAGATGATCACATGACTCAGTGGGCAAATGCAGTAAAAAGCAACTCCCTGCAGTGTTTTTATGCAGGGGGCTGTGTTGGTTAGGGGTGAGGATTTGTAGGGGGAGTGCTGTAGGTGTGTACGATATGGCCTACTCTTTGCTGGCACCAGTTTCTACCACCAGCGTATCAGCACTGATGGATTAAAAAAATAAAAAATATATAGTTTAACATCCAATAGCCTAGCTAACATTAGGTGTGTCTGTAACTGTGGCCCAAACTTGACAGTGAATAGCAGTGAATGCTCATGCTAGGTAAACATAAAAATCTTCTTCCTGTGGGTGCCCGGTTCCCGATCGGCCCCCATATGTGTCAGCACGACATCTTTGCTGGATGATATCACCATCCGGTGTAGCAAAAGTTGAACCACATCCAACTTTTTCGATGCACCGGCCTGGAAATACAATATGTGTAATTCTGTTTGAAGAATGTTTTCCCCCCTTTCAAGAATTTTTTTACACTTAAGCTGATTCAGTTAATACTCTTAAGGGTCCCTGAACAGGAGTTAATGTGTGACAGTAGTGACAGTATTGATTGGACTTCAAAAACCAAAAAGGCATCTTTCGGTATAATGTTCTAACCCACTTTGAGTGCAGAGATAGTGAAATGAATAACATGTTTGTGTTGGTCTTTTGAGAGTGACAAGAGAAAGACGGAACTTGAAAAAGGCTGGGAGTGCTAATGAGCCTTATTTTAAGAACACAACGCAGCCATGAATATTTAACAGCTTGTCTCCTTGATGAACCACCAAAATAAAAAGTCTGATGAATTCAACAGTCTGAATGAAACACAGCCTGTGTGAAGCTGCCTTTCCCAAGATGCTCCTGTACAGTATTTTTTCTGTAACATCTGTTATGGCTGCTATAAAACAAAACATTTTTGTAATATTGCAAGAGTTGTATGAATTGAGCCTATTTGGAATCTAACCAAAACAACAGTAGACACATATTTGTACAGTATACATATATTACTCTGACGTCTTGATTGCCTAAGTAACTCATACATCGGTAAACAGTTTTCACTGTGACAGAACACAGATATAAAACACGCCTTCCATAAAGACAGTTGTCACCTTCATTTTTCCATCATGGAAAATCACATTTCATTCCATTTTCAAATAATGATGGATACTCAACTAAACTGTCTCCATACATCTAAAGAGGACAAATGTCAAGGTAGTTGAAAAGAGACCTGTAAAGTCCCATGGACTTAGGTTGTTGCTAGGCAACAGCGAGGGCATCGGCCCTTTTACAGGAAAGCAAATTCACTGTCCAAAATAAATAAAGATTAAAGGAACACACCATGAACCTCTTGAGCAGGGTTAAGTCACTGGGAATAACACTCAGGCAAACACCAAGTACTGTGGAGCCGTAAAGTTGTTTATGTTTGGTAATTAGACTGTATGCTCGGGATGCAAAGAAGCATACAGCATATAGACAATTTTCAAAAGGCTGACGGCAAGAATAGACTAAGTCTCAAATATAGCTTATTTAGATAAAACTATAAATTGGCCAATTAATTTTTGTACAGTGTAAAAAGAAACATGAATAACTGTTCAAAAATAATTAGGGTTCATTTTTAGGTCCTCTGGAGACTCAAAAGATGGTAAATGTATGTAAATGCTGTAAACTGACTTTCTCTTTCATTTTTAAAGAAAAGGTGTGTAAACACCTTGAGAACAGATCAAAAGGCTACTGGGCTTCTAACAACAGTAACTAGGACTCCATATCAAAGACGGGTGGATTTACAGTATCTCATTAAAGCAAGCAAGAAAAAGCTCCAGTTCCAAAGGGAAATGAAACAGTTTTGCTGATATTTGCTTTGTTATTTAGCCAGAACAGCTTAAATGAATTACTCTCATCTTCTTCATTCTATTCATTATTCTAGATGTAAACACATTAGTCAAAAGAAACGTTTCTGAGTACATCTGGGTTTCTTATCTTTTGTGCTGTAGACAATAGGGTAGTTTAGCTTTCCAAAGTGCTGCAAGCAGAGTATTAAAGAAACCTAGTGCCATTTATGGGATATGGTACCTGCTGCCTCTTCTACCGATAGCTGCCTCCCAGTAAGCCTTAATGTATGAGATTTGTCAGTGTCAATTTCCCACCTAATCTCTCTGGTCCACCTCACTGCTGCCTCTGCCGCCCATTCATTCTACTGCTCTGTCTCTACCTGCTCACATTATCCCACCGAGGACACAAAGGAAAGGAGAAGCCAGGGGATAGGAGACACATCTGTGGTGACCAGTGCCACAGTGTGACCCTGCATGTGCATCCAGCAGAACTGATACAGATCCAGGTAAAACTGTGTTGGCTTTACTCCTAATTCATTTGTGCTGTCAGTCAAAAATGGCACAGGTTTTAGGGACAGTTTGGGTTTTGACTCACAATAAACACTGATAATAAAACAGAGAGCGAAGTGAGACTATAAAAATGGAATTTATAACTAAACTCCTGCTGATCAACAAATAGCACTTCCAAAATCCAAAGATCCAAATTAAATTTTTTGGAAAAACAATCTCTTAATAACATGATAGCCTTTCATAGCGCTCACGTAAGTGTATGTCATGACCACACATTTTGACTGAAAAACGCTCCCAGAGTTAGTTCAGAGTGAACTACAATTAACAAAGCTCAGCCACAGTGGCATTCAGTGTTTCTAAATAGCCTGTGATTTTAACAGTGTCAAAATCAAGTATTACTCAGAACCTTATTTCAGCACCAGATTAGTATTTGGCAGGCAGCGTGGTGTAAGTTGCCTTAAGTTCCACAGTGAGCAAACACTGAGAAAGCCCATGTTCTCAGCTCATTACTGTTAGATGCTGGCACCCTGCAAAGCCTCTTGGCCAATAATATTCCCGTACAACATCGGCAAATTAAAATAACTGTGCAAAACACTAAACAAAGACCTTGACAGACGTTAGCTTGAGACCTCAGAGGATGACATTCATACTTTAACAATGACAAAGAAAAAGCCGGAACATCCAAATGCAGCTGTGTGATTCTGGCTCTTTTCCAACTGGGCGCCTTTTCTAGTTACTTTTATTTATGTAGTTTAGTGAACTGAAAATAATGACAATTAAGCTTTAATTGTAAAGTTTTTTTTTTTAAACTGTCCTCTGGTAACTAGTTTTTGAAGTCAAGAAATTTGTTTGAGTACTATATATAATAATATTGTGACTAATCTAATATTCTGCTAGATTTTAGTGATGGGAAAAATGTTTTGTGGCATCAATACTATTTTGGGAGTTCTTACATAACTCTTATGTAATTTTCAGTACCAGAGTAATGTAGGTGTGCGGGTGTATGAAGTTGATAAATTAAATACTAAATAAAAACTACCTTGGCAAGTGACATCCATAAAAAAAAAAGCGAATTAGCCTACATTACTGTATTAATGGAGGCAGCAGCCTGGGTAAGGAGAAGAAGAAACACTTAACGGAATAGTTCTAATATTTTAGGAATTGTAGTTATTGATTTCATATGAGAAAATAGATACTACTCTCATGGCTGTACAGTAAATATGAAGCTACAGCCAGCAGCTGCTTAGTTTAGTTTGGCTTAGCACAAGCAGAAGCCTCCAAGGCTGAGAAATGAAGCCAATGCAATAGTGTTAAAACCTGCAGTTTCTCAAATGCCCTCTCGAGATTGGCTCCAAAAGGGAGTCGATCCCCGTAGACTCCCAAATTAAAATGCCCAACTTTACAGATAAAATGAACATGTTTACAGCCTGGTACAAAAACAGTTTTGGTCTCTATAGCTAATTTCTTCTTCCATGTCAACTGCACAGGGTGCAAATTGTTATAAAACTCACCAGTATAAATTGTGAGGCTAAAAGTTATGCATAATTAAGAGTGGGGCTGCTTTGAGGGACAGGTGTGAGGGAGTTGCCATAGCTGGCTAGCTGCTAGCTGTCTAGTGAGCTCCACTAATGCGCTGCCTCTTTCCTCATTTTTGGATTAGCAGGAGTGAAGCACTACCAAGATGGCAACGACCAGATTTGAATTTCAAAACCGC